TTATTCACAAATACATGCAGTGGAAAATGTTATGCAATTTTTGTAGGTTTCAAAAAAGCGTTTGATTCTGTAAACAGAAATATAATGTAGTCATTGTTTCTTTCAAATGGTGTGAGTAATAAAATGGGTAAATTATTATGCAATATTTATCAAAATGTAAAGTCATGTGTTAAAAATCGGGGAATATACTCTGATGTCTTCAGCCTTCACATGTAACATTTCTGTACGCCAAGGCTGTATTCTTAGCCCCTTCCTTTTCTGTTTTTTTCATCAATGAACTGGCTGCACAAAGTAAGGAAAATTGTACGGATGGTATACAGCTGCATCCAGATATTGTTAAGATATTTCTGTTGCTTTTTGCTGATGATATGGTCCTGTTCTCTAGTACGATAAAAGGTTTACAGAATTTAATAGATCAACTGGAGCTGTACTGTTCTAATTGTAAACTCCAAGTGAACACTGAGAAAACGAAAGTGTTAGTTTTCAAAGAGGGAAATAAACTATCAAGTAGGGAAAAAAGGTTCTTCAACTCACAACCGTTAAAATTTGTCACTTCTTATAAATATCTGGGGGTAACCTTCACAGGCAGATTATCGTGAATTACCACACCAGTAATGCAGCAATGCAGGCAAAAAAGATACCAATGGGAATTTTACATAGTATAAAAAGTTTCACTGATCTTTCATATCAAACCTTTTTAAAATATTTGATACAAAAATTACTCCATTTTTTTATATGGAGCAGAGGTCTGGGGGGGTACTGAATACAGAACAATTGAACTGGTCCATCTATATGCTTGTAAACGATTCCTTGGCGAACAAAACTCTACATCGAGTGTTATGGTATATGGTGAATGTACCACTTTACATATTTCAACATATTAGAGTTCTCAAGTATTGGTTCAAGATTCTTAAAATGCCTATTGATAGATTACCAAGAAAATGTTACAATATGATGTTATTGTATGAAAAACATGGAATCCGCAATTGGGTTTATGATGTAAAGTCGTTATTAAATGATTGCGGCTATGGGTATGTTTGGCATAATCAATGTGTACCAAACAATCCAGATTCTTTTTTAGTACCTTTACGCCAAAGACTTAAGGATATATACTTTCAAAAATGGGCATCGCATGTTTTAAGTCTAGAAAAATGCAATTATTATAAGCTTTTCAAGACAACAATTTCCCCAGAATACTATTTGTTTGACATCAACTTTAAAAGGTTTAGAATAAGTTTAGCACAATTTAGATGCAGCTCTCATAGACTTAGGATCGAAGTAGGCAGGCATAGAAACATAGCCAGAAAATTGAGAATATGTGAGCAATGTGATTTAAATGCTATTGAAGATGAGTTTCATTTTCTGTTAGTTTGTCCAAAATACGACAACGTTGGAAGAAAATATATTGATCTGCCTTGTTATGTACATCCCATTCTACAAAGATTTACAACGATCATGTCAACAACTGATAAAGATACTCTAAAATATCTATCAATGTTCATTTATCATGCTATGTTAATTAGAATATGACCTGTTAAACGGATCTGTAACCACTCCCGAAAACAAAATTGTACTATGGGCCTGAGGCCATTCAGTATGGAATAAAACTTATCCTATCCTATCCTACCTGTTGATATCAACTTACTGTTACGTATATAAAATGTAAATAATATCGTTACAGATAATGAAGCTATAGTTAAGGCAGTCCAACACTATACATGTACCCCTAAATGGACTGTAATGCATTTCCCCCCTCCTTTGTAGGATTACATAAGCATGTTTCTATGAATCACTATGAAATAGTGGTGACATCAGGTGCTCGAGAAAAGGTGAGCGTATCCTGCCAAATCGGTGGCACTCGTCACAAACACATGCAAAAGTAAGTTAATCATTCACCTGAAAAATACAACAACACGGGAACATATAGCAAGTCAAATTCATTTTAAAAAGTTACTGAGGCTATAATAAAATTAATTATTATGTGTTCCCCATAGATGTATCTGGGCAAAGTACATAAACACAATCGATCTCAGGAGAAAAGGTACAATTACTCGACGAGGAAATCGATCCCAGGAGAAAATGTACAATTACTCGACGAGGAAATCGATCTCAGGAGAAAAGGTACAATTACTCGACGTGGAAATTGTGAGAATATGCGGGTAATGCCAAACTCCCCCCCCCCCCCCCCCCCCCCCCCCCCCCACCACACACACACACACACTGTGTCAGACATTACCGTGGTCGGATTATTTAAATACGGCTAACAAGTTATGAGAGCTTGTACTTGTTATTGGCACACTTGAAAAAAGCTGTACATAATGTTCAAATATCATACACTCTTCAAAAAAAAGAAAAGAAACGCACAGGTAGTTTTTAGTAAATATAGTCCTTAAAAATATTGACAATTGAATGACAAATTATTACCTTATGCTTGCCTTTTATAGCCACTACAACGAGTTGCACGTGTATTTTGCTTTACTATTTTCCTTCATGACATTTTTGAACAAGTGTGAAAACAATGCCGTTTAAGACATTGCAAATCGACAATGGCTGCGTTTTGACGCACCGTTTGTCGAATATCAGGCAACCAACATTTTCCAATAACATATATCCAATTTAAATACCGGTTTTTTGAGTAGTCAGGCTCAGTGAACTAAATGCTACCTGTGCGTTTCTTCTTTGAAGAGTGTATAAGAAATAAATGACTCGTAGCCGTTGTTTATCGTACAATAAAACAATGCAGGGCTGCGAGTAATTTATTTCTTAATCAATGTATTTGTTCCTACTTTGAACACAAATATACACATTTGTTTTCACGCTTGTGGGATCCTTTGCTTCATTCTCACGAGGCGTGCCAATTTAACAGTAAGATTTTAGGAACATCATTAATTCCATTTATTGATATCAAACGTTCGCCATGAAACAATAATGGCAATTTGTTCATCGAGGACAACACATATCAATACACCGATAGCAATAAATAACGTTGATTTTGTTCTGAATGTGTGAAAGCAATATATTGATATCCTGGAATGAATTATTGATATCTCTATGTCCAGAATAATGTTGTAAAACGTAGTACGTTGGTGATATCGATTTGTTTGTTTTGTTTCTTTGTTGTTTAACGCCGCAAGAACCCCTTAATCTTCTGAGAGGAACACTGAAGTTTCTAAGACTGTATGATATGTTTGAAGCAACGGTTTTTGGTATCTGTAATATAAGCGGAGCCATATTTTCATTATTTTTGACGAAAACTCAAAGTTAACGTTCCTTTCTGCGCTGATCTAAGGGTTCCCAGCCGGTTTCGTTGGTCGGTTGGATTGTTGTTTAACGCCGCACACTCAGCAATATTCCAGATGTATGACGGCGGTCGGTAAAAAGTCGAGTCTGGACAAGACAATCCAGCAATTGACATCATGAGCATCAATCCACGCAATCAAGTCAGCGAGCCTGGCCACCCGATCCCGTTAGTCACCTCTTACGACAAGTTTAGTCGCCTTTTATGGCAAGAATGGGTTGCTGAAGACCTATTTTACCCCGGATCTGGAGCTTGGAAACCTAGGCTTACATGCTGCATATCAACTCACACATCCTTCATGAAATAAAGAAACGTGTTCATTGCAAATAAGTGGACTAACACAGCTCACTCACTCATTACGAAAAATGCAGATCAAATATTCATTTCTGTGTAAGCTAAGTGTGATGGCAAATTGATTCCAATATTACATAGCATTTGGTAAAGGTAATATATTTGTGGATGTGATATGTCGATTTCCCAAGTGAAATAGATTAGTATTATATTTTTTTCATTTATTCGAAAACAGATATCACATGATATCTCTGCTCAAACGCAAAGGTTGTTGTGAAAGACATAAACACAATTTCGATTTCCCGAATGGGTACAATGTTTGGAGCCCAATTCCCCCGCTGTAATATTGTTGGAATATTTCTAAAAGCGGCATAAAACCATAATCACTCATCCCCTCCTCCCATATACCAATGAGTGGTGTTCAGGGTTAGATTCACACAGTCAGTAGCGAGTGCGTCAACCTTGACCTGACACCTTCGCCTTATTCAGGCCACAAAACGTTACAGCGAGGTCTTGGGAATGGCGTCATATCTGCGGATGGATAAGCCGTAGTTCCTGCAAACGTGTTGCAAGATTTGGAAAACATCGTAATTGTCGTTCCATTTCATCCCAGATATGTTCAATTAGTGACAGATCAGGGAATGGTTAAAGAAAACCTTGCCTCATCAGTGAAGCTGACCCTTCTCCACCAACCGAAAGTGTAAGAGATGGAGAAGTGAACGTTTATGTTCAGATATATATAAAAGTGATTCTTCTGTCAGGATTTAAATTCTGCTTGGCCACTTGGACGGATATCGTTGATGCGCCATTGGACTCTTTTCTCAGATACGCCAGTGTTGCCTGGTATGGCAAAGGTTGTGAGAGCTGCTGTCCGGAACCTGTATCGAAGATGCGTCGTTCGAATCCCAATGTTTTAGCGAGGGTGAAATTCGAACCAACGGTTCTATGAATCCGGCGACCCATAATCTGATAACCATCACGTTATGCTTAGACATATTTATATTTTAGTTTTGGATTCTCTAAGTGTGTGAGGGGGCACGGGTGGCCCAGTCGTCTAAGGCGCCGCGATTCGCTGTGCAGAGTTGCGTCCCTTGGGCACGCCAGAAACCTATGATTGTGGGTTCGAATCCCGGTTCGCCCCGATTATGTTTCTAGGTTTGTCAGCACCATACCCGTGCTCGTGGGTTTCACCGAAGTGGTAAACGTCTGAGACCTGCATCACTTCGGGCTTTCCTCCCACATTAAGCTGACACGCCGCGATATAACTGGAATATTGTTAAAAGCGGCGTAAAACCCAACTCACTCACTCACTCACTCTAAGTGTGTGACGGATGTTATACATTCTATCAAGACTGTGACATGTGTGTGACGGTTCATATCAAGGCTATGAGAGATGTGTTACGGATCTTACCGTTCTGAGTACAGTTTCTGTAATATACCCATGCGTCTCCAGGCTCCACGTCTGCAGCTGACACGGACCGGTTAGAGATCCCTTGACAAGTGTGGGTTACAGTGTTGTAGAAGAACGACTTGCACCTGGGATCCCTGTAGCAGTCCCCTGCACATTCCGCCACCAGCTGCTTGTCACCCCTACTCCACAGTGCACCCAGGGAGGTGATAGACCCAGCCAGGGAATGATCCGGACAAAAGTTGTCTCTCTCCAGTAGCACTGAGACGGCAGACCCCAAAAATCCCAGCAAGCACACAAGCTTTATATAAGCCATGTTCTCCTAATGAAACTCTGTAAGGACAAAAAATGTCATAGATTTAAGTGCCAGGCCTCACAAAGAAGGGATTGCGTAATATCTTTTCTTGCGGATTTAAAAATGATGTCGTTGACTTTTTTTTCCACAAAACACTTGAGTCAATTGAACAAATTGACTCGCCTTGACAAATCAGTAAACTAAACAAGGGCTTAAATTGTACTGTTAGCTCAGACTGTGAGACCCTACTTCAACCGACATTCGTTGAACCCACTCGTCTAGATAAGGCCTCACTTGAAAGCTCACATGCATTTGTGTATCGTGTCTTAAAATAACCCCCTCCACCTCAGTTTCAACAAACGTCTCCATAACGACCATTACAATGAACCATATAAACCATCCCGAAAATCTATTTATTTACGTGTTCTGACAAAATCGCCTCATCACTTACTGCTTGGTGTGCTTTTAAACAATGTTTTCTTCCATTGATTCTAAAGAATGAATACATATGATGGGGCTAGACTATTACAGCAGGGACCAGGTACATTCTCCCACTATGATGGGGCTATACTGTTACAGCAGGTATCAGGTACTCTCTCCACTATGATGGGGCTAGTGTGTTACAGTGTATCAGGTACTCTCTCCCACTATGATGGGGCTAGACTCTTACAGCAGGGACCAGGTACTCTCTCCCACTATGATGGGGCTATACTGTTACAGCAGGTATCAGGTACTCTCTCCACTATGATGGGGCTAGTGTGTTACAGTATGGATCAGGTACTCTCTCCCACTATGATGGGGCTAGACTGTTACAGCAGGGACCAGGTACTCTCTCCCACTATGATGGGGCTATACTGTTACAGCAGGTATCAGGTACTCTCTCCCACTATGATAGGGCTATACTGTTACGGCAGGTATCAGGCACTCTCTCCCACTATGATGGGGCTAGACTGTTACAGCCTGGATCAGGTACCCTCTCCCACTATGATTGGGCTAGACTGTTACGGCAGGGATCAGGTACTCTCTCCCACTATGATGGGGCTAGACTGTTACAGCAGGGAACAGGTACTGACCCCCACTATGATGGGGCTAGACTATGATGGGGCTAGACTGCTACAGCAGGGATCAGGAACTCTCTCCCACTATGATGGGGCTAGACTGTTACAGCAGAGATCAGGTATTCTCTCCCACTATGATGGGGCTAGACTGTTACAGCAGAGATCAGGTATTCTCTCCCACTATGATGGGGCTAGACTGTTACAGCAGAGATCAGGTACTCTCTCCGACTATGATGGGGCTAGACTGTTACAGCAGGGATCAGGTACTCTCACCGACTATGATGGGGCTAGAAAGTTACAACAAGGGCCAGGTACCCTCTCCCACTATGATTGGGCTAGACTGTTACGGCAGGGATCAGGTACTCTCTCCCACTATGATGGGGCTAGACTGTTACAGCAGGGAACAGGTACTGACCCCCACTATGATGGGGCTAGACTATGATGGGGCTACACTGTTACAGCAGGGATCAGGAACTCTCTCCCACTATGATGGGGCTAGACTGTTACAGCAGGATTTAGTTACTCTCTCCCACTATGATGGGGCTAGACTGTTACAGCAGGGATCAGGTATTCTCTCCCACTATGATGGGGCTAGACTGTTACAGCAGAGATCAGGTATTCTCTCCCACTATGATGGGGCTAGACTGTTACAGCAGAGATCAGGTACTCTCTCCGACTATGATGGGGCTAGACTGTTACAACAAGGGCCATGTACCCTCTCCCACTATGATGGGGCTAGACTGTTACAGCAGGTATCAGGTACTCTCTCCTACTATGATGGGGCTAGACTGTTACAGCAGGTATCAGGTATTCTCTCCCACTATGATGGGGCTAGACTGTTACAGCAGGCATCAGGTATTCTCTCCCACTATGATGGGGCTAGACTGTTACAGCAGAGATTCAGGTACTCTCTCCCACTATGATGGGGCTAGACTGTTACAGCTGAGATCAGGAACTCTCTCCCGCTATGATGGGGCTAGACTGTTACAGCAGAGATCAGGTATTCTCTCCCACTATGATGGGGCTAGACTGTTACAGCAGGGATCAGGTACTCTCTCCCACTATGATGGGGCTAGACTGTTACAGCAGAGATCAGGTACTCTCTCCGACTATGATGGGGCTAGACTGTTACAGCAGGGATCAGGTATTCTCTCCCACTATGATGGGGCTAGACTGTTACAGCAGAGATCAGGTACTCTCTCCGACTATGATGGGGCTAGACTGTTACAGCAAGGATCAGGTACTCTCACCGACTATGATGGGGCTAGACCTTTTACAGCAGAGATCAGGTACTCTCACCGACTATGATGGGGCTAGACTGTTACAGCAGAGATCAGGTACTCTCTCCGACTATGATGGGGCTAGACTGTTACAGCAGGGATCAGGTACTCTCACCGACTATGATGGGGCTAGAAAGTTACAACAAGGGCCAGGTACTCTCTCCCTCTATGATGGGGCTAGACTGTTACGGCAGGGATCAGGTACTCTCTCCCACTATGATGGGGCTAGACTGTTACAGCAGGGATCAGGTACTCTCTCCCACTATGATGGGGCTATACTGTTACAGCAGGATTTAGTTACTCTCTCCCACTATGATGGGGCTAGACTGTAACAGCAGGATTTAGTTACTCTCTCCCACTATGATGGGGCTAGACTGTTACAGCAGGTATCAGGTACTCTCTCCCACTATGATGGGGCTATACTGTTACGGCAGGGACCAGGTACTCTCTCCCACTATGATGGGGCTATACTGTTACGGCAGGGACCAGGTACTCTCTCCCACTATGATGGGGCTATACTGTTACGGCAGGGATCAGGTACTCTCTCCCACTATGATGGGGCTAGACTGTTACAGCAGGGATCAGGTAATCTCTCCCACTATGATGGGGCTATACTGTTACGGCAGGGATCAGGTACTCTCTCCCACTATGATGGGGCTAGACTGTTACAGCAGGGATCAGGTACTCTCTCCGACTATGATGGGGCTAGACTGTTACAGCAGGGATCAGGTACTCTCACCGACTATGATGGGGCTAGAAAGTTACAACAAGGGCCAGGTACCCTCTCCCACTATGATTGGGCTAGACTGTTACGGCAGGGATCAGGTACTCTCTCCCACTATGATGGGGCTAGACTGTTACAGCAGGGAACAGGTACTGACCCCCACTATGATGGGGCTAGACTATGATGGGGCTAGGCTGTTACAGCAGGGATCAGGAACTCTCACCGACTATGATGGGGCTAGACTGTTACAGCAGGGATCAGGTACTCTCACCGACTATGATGGGGCTAGACTGTTACAGCAGAGATCAGGTACTCTCTCCGACTATGATGGGGCTAGACTGTTACAGCAGGGATCAGGTACTCTCACCGACTATGATGGGGCTAGAAAGTTACAACAAGGGCCAGGTACCCTCTCCCACTATGATTGGGCTAGACTGTTACGGCAGGGATCAGGTACTCTCTCCCACTATGATGGGGCTAGACTGTTACAGCAGGGATCAGGTACTCTCTCCCACTATGATGGGGCTATACTGTTACAGCAGGGATCAGGTACTCTCTCCCACTATGATGGGACCAGACTGTTACAGTAGGGATGAGGTACTCTCTCCCATTATGATGGGGCTAGACTGTTACAGCAGGATTCAGTTACTCTCTCCCACTATGATGGGGCTAGACTGTTACAGCAGGGATCAGGTACTCTCTCCCACTATGATGGGGCTATACTGTTACGGCAGGGATCAGGTACTCTCTCCCACTATGATGGGGCTAGACTGTTACAGCAGGCATCAGGTATTCTCTCCCACTATGATGGGGCTAGACTGTTACAGCAGAGATCAGGTACTCTCTCCCACTATGATGGGGCTAGACTGTTACAGCAGAGATCAGGAACTCTCTCCCACTATGATGGGGCAAGACTGTTACAGCAGGTATCAGGTACTCTCTCCCACTATGATGGGGCTATACTGTTACGGCAGGGATCAGGTACTCTCTCCCACTATGATGGGGCTAGACTGTTACAGCAGGCATCAGGTATTCTCTCCCACTATGATGGGGCTAGACTGTTACAGCAGAGATCAGGTACTCTCTCCCACTATGATGGGGCTAGACTGTTACAGCAGAGATCAGGAACTCTCTCCCACTATGATGGGGCTAGACTGTTACAGCAGGGATCAGGTACTCTCTCCCACTATGATGGGGCTATACTGTTACGGCAGGGATCAGGTACTCTCTCCCACTATGATGGGGCTAGACTGTTACAGCAGGCATCAGGTATTCTCTCCCACTATGATGGGGCTAGACTGTTACAGCAGAGATCAGGTACTCTCTCCCACTATGATGGGGCTAGACTGTTACAGCAGAGATCAGGAACTCTCTCCCACTATGATGGGGCTAGACTGTTACAGCAGAGATCAGGTATTCTCTCCCACTATGATGGGGCTAGACTGTTACAGCAGAGATCAGGTACTCTCTCCCACTATGATGGGGCTAGACTGTTACAGCAGAGATCAGGTACTCTCTCCGACTATGATGGGGCTAGACTGTTACAGCAGGGATCAGGTATTCTCTCCCACTATGATGGGGCTAGACTGTTACAGCAGAGATCAGGTACTCTCTCCGACTATGATGGGGCTAGACTGTTACAGCAGGGATCAGGTACTCTTACCGACTATGATGGGGCTAGACTGTTACAGCAGAGATCAGGTACTCTCATCGACTATGATGGGGCTAGACTGTTACAGCAGAGATCAGGTACTCTCTCCGACTATGATGGGGCTAGACTGTTACAGCAGGGATCAGGTACTCTCTCCGACTATGATGGGGCTAGACTGTAACAGCAGTGATCAGGTACTCACTCCCACAATGATGGGGCTAGACTGTTACAGCAGAGATCAGGTATTCTCTCCCACTATGATGGGGCTAGACTGTTACAGCAGAGATCAGGTACTCTCTCCCACTATGATGGGGCTAGACTGTTACAACAAGGATCAGGTACCCTCTTCGACTATGATGGGGCTAGACTGTTACAGCAGAGATCAGGTACTCTCTCCGACTATGATGGGGCTAGACTGTTACAGCAGGGATCAGGTACTCTCACCGACTATGATGGGGCTAGAAAGTTACAACAAGGGCCAGGTACCCTCTCCCACTATGATGGGGCTAGACTGTTACGGCAGGGATCAGGTACTCACTCCCACTATGATGGGGCTAGACTGTTACAGCAGGGATCAGGTACTCACTCCCACTATGATGGGGCTAGACTGTTACAGCAGAGATCAGGTACTCCGAACCAACTATGGCAGAGGGCAGTGATGAAGAAGGTCTACTCACCAGCATGTAGTCTCCATCACGTCAGCCTGAAACTTCATGTCACATACACTGCCTGGACCAATGGAACAACCAATCCTAGTTTTAAAAACATACGACTAGTTCTTTCAGCTCTAAGTACATTAGACATTCAACAATATGCTAAGTGCTAAAACATTAAGGCTTCCGACAAAGGGAATTTATTAGTATTCAATTTATTGACGAGGAAACGATTTAACACACTTTTTAACCTCCGAACACAGACGCACCATTGATTTGGGAGCCATGACAATGTATGGGACGTGTCATGGAACACTGCTCTTTGTTAGTTTATTATTAGATATTGAATGTGTCTTCCTCGCGGGCATTATTGTGCGACACGCAAATATATAACGTCAACCTCAGACAATAATCCGCCTCGATCATCCGCCCAAACAGCCCCTATTGGACGCAAAGGGTAAACAAAGTGCTGAAAAACACATGAACGGACCACCAAAAATCTGCAAGAACAGGAAGCGTTAGCGAAAAATGGAAAACGGTAAGCATGTCCTACCCTACCGGTAGCACCCGCACATGAGTAAGTGAGTGAGTGAGTGAGTGAGTGAATGAGTGTGGTTTTACGCCGCTTTTAGCAATATTTCCGCAATATCACGGCGGGGGACAATCGAAAATGGGCTTCACACATTGTACACATGTGGGAAATCGAACACGGGTCTTCGGCGTGACGAGCCAACGCTTTAACCACTAGGCTATCCTACCGCCCCTTTTCACACATGATGATCTTGGCTGACTACGAGTCATTGTTCTCATACGGCCTGCTTTGTTGGTCATACTGTCAACCACTGGTTCAGTGGAACAAGGCCCGATTGTGTTTGGGCTATGATTACAATATTGGTTAATGTTAAGTGCCATTTTGTTATTCTAAGCTCGGTGTACGACCGATGAACAGACCGCCACGATATAACCATCTTCCCGAAACAAGGATGTTATCTGAATTTAAAAGTCCAGTTTCCACCCTTGTCCAACTACGCTTGAATTTCGTGGCACGATCGTAGCGCCACCAGTGGCTATTACGAGTTATGCCCCTTCTATGTCCCTCCTATTGACTAATCAGATTCCACCTCTCATGTCACGTGCATTTGCTTCAAACAAAATGGCGGCCCCCAATCAAGACGATCTGATCTGTAATCAATATCTATATTGTTATTAAAAAACCCGGGTATTACCTCACGAAGCGCACCAATCATTTGAGCGTCTTGATTAAAGACATGAATTTTTTTGGAAAATATCTGTCGACGCCCAGTTGTCGGTACACATGCTTTGCAAATCCTGCAGTGGATCGAAATCTGCACTTTGAATTCCGTGTTGTTTACGAATCGGATGTCCAGTTCGTTGCGCGAATTTGATTGGACTATCCACAGACACGATAGTCCAGCCAAAATGTAACTCCGGAATTCCAGCCTAGTTCGGCAAGGGTGGAAACTGAGTTTATACAGTCAGTTAACTCCCTTGCCTCGGGAAGATGCGATACAGCGTACAACGGCCAAATTAATAAACAAAGTTTATACCATTCCACACATTTTCAATTGAGTGAATAACGAAAGCCACAGTAGTTATTCTTATCGCTGTAATGCTGCTCACTTCAGTGTCATAATTCATTCATATATGAACTCGGGGAATAGCTAATATTATGTGCTGGTGTCCTGTGTCTCTGGAAATGATGTCGCTGTTGAAATGCAATGTGCCGAAATCTTGTGTTGCTTTGGTTGGTTTGTTGTTTAACGCGGCACTCAGCAACATTCCAGCTATATAACGGGGGTCTGTAAATAATCGAGTCTGGACCAAACAATCCAGTGATTGACATAAGCATCGATCCACACAATTGGGATACGATGATGCATCAACCAAGTCAGCGAGCCTGACCACCCGATCCCGTTAGTCACCTCAAACGACAAGCATAGTCGCAAATGACGGCAAGCATGGATCTTCCACCCCGGAGCTTCAAGCAATCATTACGACTTAGAACGTTTCTAAATTGAATTCGAAGCCGAGAAGTTTTCTTGCATTTTCTCTACTACAAAGTAACCGAAATGCACTCTAGAAACTCGGAAACGAGCACACTTTTAACATTATTAGCTGGCATTGTTCAGGCTCTTACTCTAATGAGCGCGTGAAACTTAATTTGGGGAAAGTCGATACAAGATAATAGATGCAAACCCAGTGCCCTGTATGTAATGAAATTATAATTCTATTAGTAGGTTCTGGATTTCAGTTATAACTGACTGTTACATGTTAGTCACATACATGTCACGTGTTGATCACAGGTACATCACATGTATATCACTAACATATCACTGATCGATCACAAAAGTCATTGATAGAATTTGCTTTCTCGTGTGAATGCGTGTAAAACTAGCTTTTTGGCTCCCCGGTTCGCATAATGCTTTATATGAAAGCAAAAATGTGTGTTTAATTAACCTTATCTCTCACGTCAGTTACTGATTTCAAACCGCAAGTCTTGGTGTTACACAGCCATTGTCCAAGCTCAACTCTCGTGTATCTACTTTAATGTTTCCCTCTTGCGATCTAACTTTATAACATTTCAGGGCATAGACGTCCTCTAAAACACAACAAATGCGTTCTGGGCATATTATCGTTCGGTTCCATAGCCTGTACTGTCTTAAAGTTGACTTGATTAGTCTTCGAAGGTTACGCCTAGTACCCACAAACATGACCGTTCAGCCGACATGTACATAAGATAGCAGTCAGTGGATCTTTCAGTTTGCTGACTTACTGTTGGTAATATCCGTTTTCTTTGAGCTAATAAGAGGATAGTTAGTAACAAAAATATACGATATACAACAAATATTTTCACAATTATATCACAAACTCATTCAACACTAACCCCGCATCAAACCCCGTTGTAGACTGGGCACAGTTATTTGTGCACCGGTTACATAACTCCTACCCTCAGGGTGGGGTGGTGGTTCACAGAGAAAAGTGTGCTGTTTAATAAATGCTGGGCGGCGCCTTTGATCTTGCCTCCAACCATGCATGCAGTAGAAGTAAACGATGGCCTGGAAATAAACAAGATTATTAATTGTTGCGAATCAGGGAACCAATTCTTTTGCCTTGGGGTTTTGTTATGTGCGTGTAGTCCAGTGTATCCACAATTAACGAGAATGTTACAAAAATAAATACACGCTAGATATACACACCAAATGTTTACTTGCTTAATAGGGTCAGTGTGGTTTATCAACACTTGTATAACGCTTATTCACGCTTGGTTTGGGAGACTGAAACTGAACATTATGATAGCGCGAGCAGGGATAACAGAGGTCAAAAGACATAACTATACTTGCTTTTCTGTCCACAGACCGTGGCATAGGAAGATCATACATACATATGTTTAAGATACATGGGCAGCAGGCTAGATTATTTACAACAATACAGTGCAAATAGTGTGTTCAATGAAAGAAAACATTGATAGATTCTAAACACACCTATTTTTGGACTATTATTTATTGTTGCAAACTTGACTGATTTGTTTACACAATAAAAAAAATCAAACCGATCAAGAACTACTGGGGCAGTCAAGCACCTGTATCAGAAATGTAAAAGCACCCATGTTACATGTAGTCCAAAAAGCTGGCAATTATTTCATCGCAAAATAACCCCCAAAATGCTTAAACTTACAGACAATATAGTTTTCGAGAGAGTGCAGGACAATTTTATCAAAGTTTTATTTACAATTTGATAAACTATACTAATATGAATATTAAAATCATCCATCACTTGTCAAGTTTACTTAAATGTCATCAGTTGGAATATGTCACAGATAAACAAGAATTCTAACAAAGTTTGCTCGTCTTTGACACAGAGGTTCTTCCCCACTTTGCCAGCACACTGCAGAGGATTAACAGTTACTGTGAGTGAGTGAGTATCGTTGCTGTGTTTATACAAGCACAGAAATCATGCCAAAAACGCTCACAGTAGTTAGTGAGTAAATTCAACTGAGGATTTTACAAGTATCCATCACAACCTATGAAAGCTAACATGTGAATAACCTGAGTTCACTCTAATTTAAATATTAAGGCACTTGCAGTGACCAGTTAATCAGTGAGATGGTATATAAATACTGGGAATGCCAAACAACTTCATTGTAAATAGACAAATGCACCTGTGAATGGCGTGGTGCCCGTAGCCTGGTATATCAATCTTTTAAATACCGAGTGAAACAAAGACGAGGTGCCCACATATACCATCAACACCTCGAGTGATCTTTTCGCGATCCTGAGCCTTGCGCAAAACCATTGCCATGACCTGGTTGAGTGACTTCCTCCCATCAACGTGAAAAGATTACCCATAGGAGAAAGAAAGCATTAAAATCCTAAAGACACCCTATCTACATGGCATAAGTACTTACAACCAATTTCCTCTAATAATAAAGTGTTACCTTTGGTATCCCCTGCAACACCACATGTATATTACATACGTATTACTGGTAGATCACAGGTACAGCACATGTATATTACATACGTATTACTGGTAGATCACAGGTACACCACATGTATATTACATACGTATTACTGGTAGATCACAGGTACAGCACATGTATATTACATACGTATTACTGGTAGATCACAGGTACACCACATGTATATCACAAACATATCACTGGTCGATCACATGTAAATCACATGTATATCACCAGACGATTCACGGGTATATGACATACATATCACCAGAAGATCACAGGTATATGACATACATATCACCAGAAGATCACAGGTATATGACATACATATCACCAGAAGACCACAGGTATATGACACGAATATCACATAGTGAGTGAGTTAAAATTTGAGTCACATCGGCAATATTTCAGCCATATCGTGACTATCAGTAGTTAAAAATATTACATATATTGAAACGTATAGAAAAACCTGTCAACGAAGGACAGTAAAACAACTGGACTTATCACAGAAGTAGACTAAAACTAGTATGGAATCATAAAATTGATAGCACTAAACATAACATCACAGTATAAAAACAGGCTGTAGATCGCCAGCAGCTGAAGGTAGATCACCATACTATGGA